AATCTGACAATCCGTATAGTTTTTTTAGTAGTAACTGTAACCTGAATGGATAAAACCGTATGGCATAAGGAATATGGCAAAGACCAAGCTTATCTTAATACGTACAGTATATGTGAAAAGTAAAGTGCCGTGATGTCTAAATATTTAACATCGTAGCCATACTGGTTAAATATGTATCAATCTTAACCCATTAAGTGCCGTATGTACAAGTGAAAAAGTGGTCTGTCCCTACCTTGTATGTTGTATGTCCCCTTGCTAGGGGAAAGTCTGTTGTGTTAGCAGCGTGCTGTGAAAAATGTATGTGAACTATATAACCAGTTACGTATATACAGATGCATCTGCTACTGTGTAATAATATGTGTATTTATACCAGATGTTGATATACTACTTGCTATTTGAATTGTTGTATGTCTTATCAATGGCAGGAGTCAGTGAACATGGTGTTGCAAAATGCAAGTGCTCTGGAGATCTGCCGAGTGCTCTATAGGTGGCAGTGTAGTTAGATACTGATTGGTATGTGAAATGTTGTTTGTCTGTTGTTTTGGTGTTTGTAAAACCCCATGAAAATTGTCAAAGTACTTAACAGACCTGTAGGTGGCAGTGTTGATAGAACCACTGTTGGTATTGATGTGAAATGTGAATTATTGTGAATTAAACCTGAAGTTGAGCCCGTACTGGAGTTTAATTTATTGTTTATGGTTATGTTTAAAACAATATTTTGTGTAATTTATATTGGCTGGTAAATTGTTTATGACATGTGAAGACAGTTTTGCTGTTGACCAGTAGGGGTCAGAAATGCTGATTGTATGGTAAAAACACCCTTTAATCCAAATGCAAGGTTAACGTGAGATTTTGAGAGTGACCTGTAGGGGTCAGTGTGGTTTATGTGAACATTGTTCGTGAGCTATGCCCCAGCATTATAGTTGTATGACAGGGAAACGAACATTGCCCGTTTGAAAATATAAAATATGTGAACATAATAGCTTAATAACAGTCATTGTAACAAACCAGTGTGTTCTGTTCGTGGGTTGTAAACGCACAAAACGTGTGTGTAGTACAATAGTAAATGCATGAACTAGTTCCTGTTTGGTAGAAAATTCCACGAACCGTGAGCCTGGTATGTCAGGGAAACAAAACAAAACAAGCAGTGAGATTCGAAATGCACGCACAGAATTGCCTAGTATGTTTAGGCAATTGAAACAGAATGTGTTCCCGGGAGTATACTAATGCTCGAAATGAGCCAGTGACAGATATAAACAAGTGAGTTTAAACGAATGATATGCATGAACAAGCAATGGTTTTAGAAAAGACTTAGACAAAATGCAGCCGTAAAGTGAGGACCTGACCCGTGCATGGTGCCATGGGACTGATGCCTGGCGTAACCGGTAGGTCGACTTACGGTTTGTGAGTCACTTGGACACCATCCATGGCGATGGATTGAAGAAAGAAGGTGGTAGCTCGGTAAAGCCTGCTGGATTCCTGACACAGCTCAGCTTAGAAAACCTAATAGAGTAATCAGGTAAAATGGCGTCTGGATTACCCGGAAGTGGAAATCATTCTGATGCTGACCTCAAGCGATATGGAGTCAGGTAAGTCTGGTGCTGCAACAATCCAGTCTATGGTATTGGAAGTCCCAAAGTGGTTTACTATTAAGGAACTATTAGCTCCCCATCTGTAGGCCATGCCTGTGGCTCTCAGTTGGGTAGTGACTGGGCTGAAGGATTTTAGCCACAACAGAGTGGCTTTCGTGAGGTCCTGGAAGAATATGAGGGTAGACTCTTCAACCAGAAGAGGTGTTTTGCCTTTTAGAGCAGACTGTGATGCAGCACAGGATGACATCTCAGGTCAAGTTTTGATTAGAGAGCACCTTGATGGGGATATGGTATATCCCATCTATGGCCAGTTTTCCTGCCACAGCATAAGGCAGTATGGTGGCCATAAGGCACCTAATATAATTCTGAAGTTCCTCTGTTGATATTGTGGAGGGGATGCCCCTTATTTTGATATGAGTGCGACGCTGGCGATCATCATGGTCGTTATCTTGACTGATAAGTGTCACATATTCATCCGCTTATAGAAATGTGGTTAATGACATTTACTGTCCACACAGGAAAAGTTGTGCCGAGCAGCAACCTAATCCACAGAAGGGTTAATGCTGAGCAGTAATTGTGCAAATGAAACCTGGTGTCATGTATTCATCCGCTTAGAGAAAAGTGATTAATGACATTTACTGTCCACACAGGAAAAGTTGTGCCGAGCAGCAACCTAATCCACAGAAGGGTTAATGCTGAGCAGCAATTATGCAAATGAAACCTGGTAACTGACTTTGGGGTCAAAGGCCGGTTACAGCCTATCAGAACTAAAGGAGGGGTATTTAGGCCCAGTTCTCAGCCTGCTCAGTGCCCTGTCGTGGTTTCCCTTGTGGTTGTCTGAGAGCGCGTTCCTGTTTATAGTTTTCTACCTGGTTTTTGACTTTGGCTTTGTTTATTGACTTCTCTATATTCTGGTATCCTGACTCCTGGCTTTCCTCATCGCTGTGTCCCTTTCTGTGTTCCCTGACCTCAGCTAGTATTTTTGACTATTCTTTGTACGTTAAATCCAGCCATTCTAAGGACCGGTAATACGTTACTTATTTGTCATCCATGCTGTACAGTTCTACGTGCTGGATCAAACAGTAATCCTGACAATAAGGCTCTTTGGTGAGTGTATAGTTGTTGTACAGAGTCTTGTAGACAGAATGTCGGCCATTTTCTCCCCCAAGTCCTTTACCCAGTTAGTGGCAGCCTGTATTTCCTTCTTGAGAAGGGCGTAATCGGCCCCACCGATGTCTCTGCTCTGCAGTGGCGTGTGGCTTCTGTGTTCGGCTCCCCTCAGTGGGCATGTTATTCCGTGAGTCAGGCGGTGCAGGAGATGCGGTGGCCTTCGCTCTGTCTGCAGTGGTGCCGCCTAGGAGTTCCTAGAGGCCGTGGAATGTCAAGCTGATGTAGGCCACAGATTTGCGTCACCGTTTAGGCGGCTTTTGGGCGAGAAAGAAAGGCTGCGATTGTTGTATCTTGCCTTGTAGGTTCAGATTAGGTGTGTTAAAATGCTGGATTGGCTTCAGAGTTTCTGATATCAAGTGGATTATTAAATTTCCTGAGGAGCTATTGGAAATGGCGTCTGACCAGGTTAGATAGCTGGCTGCATTCCCCCCTCACACTCCCCTCATTACTTAATATTTTAATGTTCATTGGCATTGTTATTTTGTTTTGCTTAATTGCTAAATATGATTGAAAATATTCACCAAGTTAAATTCCAATCCAATATGTTTCCCATAAATATAATACATAATAATAGTTCCAAAGTTAAAAAAGTAAAAATTATAAATGTTATGGATTTTTTTGTTATAAATTAAAACAAAGCTTTCTATATTTTTCATTATTTAGGTCAACAACAAAGGGGAACACTTGTAAAACAATGACAGAGACAAATCTATCAATCTGATAATATTGGTGTGCAAATTCCGTTTTCTAAACAGCTTGACCTGCAGTTGCAACTGCATCTTGCCCATATAAATTTGTAGTGAGTAATGCTGAATTAAAGACAGAATATGAAATTGGATATATGCTTTGAATTCATACTTTGATATCCAGCTCTTATGGAACGCACTAAAAGCCCTTTCAAGCCATTTCCCTTTTTATCTGTTTAGAAAAAGAATGTGTATTACCGGAGTATGCTTTTTCCTGTTCAAATAAAAAACGTTTTATCAAATGGAATGCATATCAGAATAAACCTTACACATTTTAAATTCAGAATGTAAATAGTGGAAAACTGTAGCTCAGTCTCTGGAAATCCCAACTTAATTAACAACTGATCTCAGCTGCCTTTTGTGAACTAGTTGGATTAGGCATTGGTACAAGAACCATATAATTTATGTGCCATCTCGATGAAAATAACGAACTGTAAATAGTAGAGAAGTAACAGGTGCACAACATGAAAGATACAGGTGTTTAAGAAGTGGTCCCAATTACATACAAGCTTTTCATAAAAAAATAGTTTACTGTTAGCAGAAAACTTGAAATGATGATCAGAACATATTGTAAATATTTTTATTGTTTAAATTGAATTCTTACTGTATTGCCATTGTTTCACTAATTACATTCAGATTGTCATGAATTAGTATAATGGCATGCTGGGAATATATAAAACATATATTAGAACAGATGTGGTACGTAATGTAAAATAATGTTTTTCTCTGAATCTTCCCAAAATTTGTTTTAGCAAGTATTAAATAAAGCATTTTGGACAATGCTGAAGTTAATTACACTTGTGAAAAGGACTTTACTGGTATGCAACTCCAACAATGTAATCAGAGTAACAGAAACAACAATTATTCAGATCCACAGATTCAGTTAATTATGAATTATTAATATATCAAGTAAGTAAAATCAAATGTATATACACATACACAAAATTAAAATATAGCGGGGCGGGGCCTGACCAGCATGGCGGACGGTCGCAGCTTGCAGGAGCTCCCCAGCAAAATACGTAATAAAGCATCGTATCGGGACTCCTGCCGCTCACAACTCGACCCACAAAGGGACTTAATCATCATAGACGACAGCTGGAGCGTCCCGGTCCAGAAAACAGAGATGCCCATTGCCCAAAAGATTGCAGAGTGGTTGCGGCCTAGAGGGGACCCTGGGTAGGAGAAGCGGCCGATCTCCTGTCCCCTGAATCTCACCCCAGCAGGATCACAAAGAATCCCATTCCCCCCCTCTGGACCGGGGGGGATATCCCGGTCCACACTTCACTGCCCATGGGGTGGATGGGCCACGGCACATCACACAGCTAAATTGCGACATGGAACTCGACACACAAGATGGCGAACATGCTCCCCTGCCAAAGTCAAACTCAGTGACTAAGCATACACTGCGGACCGGTGGCCTAGGAAAGCATAGAGGCAAGGCTTGACGCTATTCTGGGGGCTTTCTGGGAGAAGCTGGCAGCAAGGGCGGTAAATGCCAAACGGGACCCCCAAACGAAAAGCCAGAGGCGAGAGGCACAAACTGGCCACAGAGCGCAAAACGGCACCCAACAGCACCCAACACCCGCCACAAACGGCCACAGCCCCCCTGGGCAGGGAGTCACTAACAGACTGGCTCCCGGCGGCGACCACGCAAGTAGAGCAAACTAACCGCAAGGCGCTGTATTACCTCGACCTGACCCTGCACTCCTTCAGTAGGGGGGAACATGGACTGTACTGGGTCCCCATTCAGCGGCACGGAGAGGCGGCCTTTGGCACCGGCCTGGGACAAAGGAACTTCCTCGCCTTTCAACCACTCAGCAGAAAGACCTGGAGCCCTCAGAGGCTCGATCCACCGCGCACATTTCACAGCCAGCCTGGACAGAGACTGCATGAAATGGCCCACTAGAGGCATCAGCAGAATCTCTGCCCCTCAGAGGCAGGCGCTACCGAACTGTTGCCGAATCATCCATCACCCGAACCACGGATAGAATCAAAACATTTGCATGGCCAACCACCCACCACACTCATCACGCTCATCACACCTAAGGCTGAGCCACGCTACCTATACACAATGGGAGTACTGAACCATCATGCTACACCTACTATGTGTCTCTACTGCTTAGACCCATCGCTGCTATGCATGTCCCTCACTTGGGCATAACTAAGTAAAATTGCATTGTTTAATTCAGCTCAGTCTAACATGTTTATGTCCACCAAGTAGTGTAATAACCACGGTTGTGAAGCGGCTTGTCTAATTAGCATTGCTAGCATTCAGCCTGTAAAGATTGTTATGATAGCCAGGTTTTAGAAGTTTTGTTCTCAGCTCAGAGATTTATCACTAAGGGTTAGCCTATGTTCTATGACCATCTCTTGATCACTAATTGACCCTGTAAAATGTACATCTTCATAGGACATTCAGAGCGCTAATCATAGAAACGTTACTTTTGATGTTACTCATTTGAGATTAACCCCTTAAGGACACAACTTCCGAAATAAAAGGGGATCATGAGGGAATAGTTCCGTCATGTGTCCTTAAGAGGTTAAACCTGGAAAGAGAGTATAAAGTGGGTCAAACACAGTACACACTGTATAAATTTAATTGAGCTATATTACAAAGTTTTATGCACTTGGTATTTGGTTCCAACAGAATTAAACAAAATGTATAGTGAGTATTTTTACCAATGATGGAGATGCATTTATGCAAAAGGATCTAATTTCCACATTTGGTGGGCATGTTCTAGTTAGGATTCTCTAAAAAGTAATCTCAAACAACTCCTCTTGGAAATGTCAGGGAAAGAGTTTCATTTGACCCCAAAGCTCCTTCTCTTCCATCTAGGCTTTCCTGAATTGGGGAAACCTCCATCTTACTTAATGATACACATTATGCTGGCGGTAAAAATATGCATAGCGAGAAACTGGAAAAAGCAAGGGCACCAAAACTGGAATGAAATAACTAACCAGATAAATTACCAATGCTTAATGGGGAAAGGTTCATTTTAATGAACAATCAACTGAATTTTTACAAACAAATTTGGGATCAATGGCAAACATATTCCTATGTTAATAAGATTTAAAGTAATAGAAATTCAAGGTTCAGTCCCAGTTCCCCTCACCCCTCCCCTGCGTCAGAATGAATGTTGGATGAAGTATGAATGAAGATTGTAATATATGTAGATTAAAGTGTAAAATATTTGATGTATTGAAATTGTTGTTAAAAAATTTATTGTAAGAATGTTTTTTTGTATTCGTCAATATTTCAATAAAGAAGATAAAAAAAACTAATAAACATTAAAAATCCTCAAAAATCTAATATGAAGGACATCAATCATCTAATTTTAGTCTTTTAGGGGCCACTTATTGTTATTTGCTATATTGTTACATTTTGTGTCCTTCCATTTCCAGTCCTCATGATGTTGTGATAACCTGCTATGAAGTGTGAATGTTACTTCTGGATATGATTGTATCCTTTTTTTGGTGGGTATTTGCTCCACTTGAGTGTCTATATTAGTCTCCATCCCAAATGACTAACATGACTATCTTGACTAAATTAACTGTCTTGATCAAAATGCACAGTCTTTTATGTCTATTCATCCTCACTTTCAGACTTGTCTTTGGATTAGTTTTCTTTATAATTGATTTCTATTCTTTCTATAGAGCAGTGACCATGAGAGTTTGCTACAATTTTCCATTTGATGTTTGGTCTCATTTTCACTTTTAACATGTGAGTACTTAAGTATTATTGGGGCTCTGCAATTCTACTGTATGATACTCTCTGAGATGTCTGACATTGTCTGTTTTGTCATATTCACACTGGGAACCATGTTTTTACTGTTCGGAGATTCATTGGGAGAGCCTTTAATGGAACTTCACCTAGATATCTATCTTTATTTGAACTCACACTTGGATCCACGCTGGGCTAACCTCTCTACTTTATAGTTATTTGCATATTTTTATTATCAACATTGATTGCTCTCTTTATTTATCTTTATAGGAATATGTCCTTGCTGATTGCTGTTTAGTTGTTTTTTTTTATATAGGATGCATATATATTTATGATTTTTATCATTTTTACTAATACATGAATATTTTTTGTATATATAAATGTTTACGTGCTATCCTGATTTTTAATTATATTAATAAAATTTAGTCACTTTGCATGAATGGGTTTAGCTGACTGAATCAATAGATGTATACTGTTTCTGAGTTTTTAACAGAATTCAATTTATATTTTTTATTCCATATTTATTTTAGTTTTTGAACTTTTACTCTATTACAAATGCATTTTTAAAAATGTTTTTCATTTATATTTATTTTCTAATGGTATATGCTGAGAAGTGTATTTTTATTTTAAAACATTCTCTGCATCTTATATGAACGCTTATATGGCTATATTAAAACATTTTTTCTTCACCACATATCATCCTTTAGTATATTTTACTTCACTCTTTTTACTTGTTCATGCTGCTAATCCACTTATCAAAAATCCTGCTGCAAAACATCTTGTTATATGTTATAATGCTTGTCAAATTACTTATCTCTGCTGAAACAGATTTACTGTTTCAAAATGTTTTCAAACTTTTTCCTAAGCTTATCAAATACTTACTTGATGGTTTGATACGCTAGAAATACCCTTCTTTTGCTGATAGACATATTTTATAAAAGAAGTTACATTTTCTATTATATCTGCATTTTTTTTCTGGTATTCAGAGATGTCCATTGCCATTTTGTTCAGTGCCTCACTTTACATACATCATTTATTTTATGTTTCAATTAAAGGTTGTACATCTAAATCTGAGTTTGTACATCATTATTGGTTAAGAGGACATTATGATAGAGAACAAGTATTATAGTAACATTGTATTATTTGAGTTTATTATGTAGTTTGAATACACATAAAATACATTACATTTACATGTAAAATACATATACAAAATCTTGATGCAGAGCTGTCACTTTCTGTGATCTTTTCAGATTTTGCAAAGAACCCCCAAAAGTGACAGATCTGGTTAGGGTCCAGTGGCAATGGGGTGCAGAGTAAAGTAGGTTTTAGTAACCTGAAGCTGTCCTTTGCTGCCACTGACCATCTTGTTCTGTGCCACTGACCAACTGCTGGCGCTTCACCTGCTAGGAGCTGCTATAGTACTCTACTCTATATAATATAGTAACTTATCTATACATATCCATAGCTTTCTCTCCTAATGAACCACACTCCACTCTCTACTCCTTTTATGCTACTTTTCCACCTTTTTTGGTTGCTGTCACCCTTGCTGCCCTGTTTGTATTTGTACCTCACCTCCTCTAGACTGTAAGCTCATTTGAGCAGGGCCCTCATCTACCTATTGTTCCTGTGTCACTGTGTAATTGTCTCAGCCTAAGGCACACCTTTGCAATAATCATGCTGTCTAATCAGTATCTTAATATGCCACAGCTGTGAGCTCACTAACACAGATTTAGACAGATTTGTAAACAATATTTGAGAAAAATAGCCCTTTTGTGTACATAGAAAAAGTTTTAGATGTTTGAGTTCAGCTCATGACAAATCGGGGCAAAAACAAAAGTGTTGTGTTTATAATTATGTTCAGTGTATATATATATATATATATATATATATATATATATATATATATATATGTGTGTGTATGTGTGTATCGCCCATGTCCCAGCACTCAACACTCCCGGTCTTTTAATTGCTTCTAAACACGTAGACAGATCACAGACACACAGATATTGCAATAGCGGTCCTTAAAATGGCCAGGCTATGCAAAAGAGATAGAGTAGTCAGAGTACAAGCTGAAGTCAAGGATCACAGAAAACAGAGTAAACGAGAAACGAGCCAAAGTCAGTAACCAAAGAATAAACCACAATACAAACGTGCTATTGGGCTATGAAAGACCACAACATGGCACTGAGGCAAGGAGGAGGTGAACTTATATACACACAGGGTGTGTCTGATTGGCTAACTTCGAATTAGTGTTAATTTCAACACGTGGGAGGTGTAGTTTCCCTCTCTTGTGATCAGTGAGGTCATCACTGTGTGCCGGGTCACATGACCGGGTCTGACACACATATAATGAAGCTGCCTTGGAGCGTGCAGCATCAGAAACACTGTCAGATTGGGGAGTGGCAGCAGGGACAGCTGCAAGCTGTGGACAGGAACCGGAAGACGCCACTCGTGGTGATGGCATAAGCAAGGATGCCGCTAACGGTTCAGGGAAAAGGAACCTGACATCAGCCAAATATATATTCCAATAAAAGTGACACAAGTGTTTATTTGTGCAAAAGACGCCTAAAAATGGAAAACCAAAATACTAAATCAAATCAGCTGCTGCCACCTATGTGTAAATTACTCCCACCTTTATACAAAATTACTAAACAAAAAAAAACTTAACTGGATCCCGACTAGCGTGGCTGCTTGAAGCTTGAGCTCTGATCTACCCAGTGGTTAATGCGTACTTCCAGCATACTCCTGGTTTCACCAATATACCCAAACTCACCTTATGGATCACACGAGACGCCAGGAACCACCCCAAACACAGAGGGGTACACTAAGTGTGTCACAAATGGGTCCCATGGATGGGTATGTGCGAATCCCAGCCAGAGACTACCTCGAGGCATCTAACTCTAAGATGGCATCCTCTTCTCTATCTCTTCTGCCATCGGCACCAGATCCCACCTCACTAGCAAATATTGGAGCAAAATTAAGGCCTATAACAGCAACGATGATGGTCACGGCAAGGGTGCATAATTTATTATTACACTATGGAATATTATCCTGTAATGTAATTTGTGTAGTAAATGACACAAATTTCAGAGATGGTATTGTTGAGGTCAAAAGGGGTTACATCTTTTGAAGCTGGGACCCCCACAGAGGTCAGATGACAGAAGAGGTAGTGGGAATGGCATAGC